GACTAAGGCCTGTTTTTTATATTATACTTGGAGAGCACATGCTTTATATTAGCTGTATAAATACTATAGTGGGGGGAGTATTTTTTCTTAAATACTTTTTTGTTGGCATATGTATTTTGAATAAAAATGTATAAAATAAACAAATCCTTAAAGTAAATGACTATTGAATTACAGACCAAAACAAGTTTGATTTCAAATAGAAGAAACCGAATGCTGCTCACTCTGGTTAGTCCGGTGTGAGGGTTAACCAGCTTCAGGAGGATAGGATTAACCATCTAGAAATGAGGATAGGGTAACCATCTAAAGAGGGGATAGGGTTAACCAGCTACAGGTGGAAAGAGTTAACCAGCTACAGGAGTATTGGGTTAACTAGCTTCAGGTGGAAAGGGTTAACCAGCTACAGGAGTATAGGGTTAACCAGCTATACAGGAGAATAGGGTTAACCAGCTACAGGAGGAAAGGTTAACAGCTATACAGGGGGATAGAGTTAAGGGTCAATTTCCGCCTAAAAGGGAGAAGAAAAGTGTACAACAGTTGAGAAGTTGTACAGAGTTAAGTATAAAGAAACATCGTGTTCCACATGGTACAACAAAATGGCGGTTTGATAATTTATATATAGTTTATTCCACCTTATTTATACTTTTACTATGTGGCCGAATATCTTTTATGCACTACTAGTGTGTACTATTTGACCCCTGCTGAGAGATTAGCATGGCGCGCTTCCAACCTACAATCAATTAAAACACAATTGATTTAATTTGTTTTAAATTCTCAGATCAATCAAATAAGGCGCGTGCGGGGCATTCCTGGCGCGCATATTAGTATCTTGAAAGCATACATTAACCCCTCCCCCCTTCATCCCTCTCAAACCACCCCCGCCCCATCACTTTCATAAAGAAATTCCTGAAATGTTTCACTATAGTATACCGAAAGATAAAGGTTTTAAAAACTTTATTTTCCAGGGCGTCACAAAAAACGAATTGTTAAATGAAAGCTCTAATTTTTAACTTCAGGTTTTGCATGAGTAATGGGCATTTTGATTTTTTAGAGTTTACATCACCCGAGAGGTCCATGTTTTTTTACCCACCCTTTGTTTTCCGAAGATAAATTAATATGCTTTAATTTTCAATAATTTTTATTTCCTTTGTTTGTTTTCTGGTCCACCCTGTGTATGTCTGTATATACGAACTGGATATATTAGGCCACAGGAAAAAAATTTCACTTTTTATCTGCCATAAATTATTTTGGATTTTGTCTGAGCTCCGACTAAAAGAACTCAGCGGACTAATTGTATTTTACAGTGTAAGGGATTAGGCTTAAATTGACTGTAGTACTTTTATCTATGCCTGGCCTGATATATTGCAGATAACCAAGGATATTTTATACAAGGAGAGTCAAGGATACTTTATACCAAGAGAGTCAAGGTTTAGACAAGGATACTTTATACAAGGAGAGTCAAGGTTTAGTCAAGGATACCTTATGCAAGGAGAGTCAAGGTTTAGTCAAGGATACTTTATACTGTGAGAGTCAAGGTTTAGTCTAGGATACGTTATACAATAAGAGTCAAGGTTTATTCAAGAATACTTTATACTAGGAGAGTCAAGGTTTATTCAAGGATACTTTATACTAGGAGAGTCAAGGTTTAGTCAAGGATAATTTATGCAAGGAGAGTTAAGGTTTAGTCGAGGAGACTTTTTACAAGGAGTGTCAAGGTTTAGTCAAAGATAATTTATGCAAGGAGTGTCAAGGTTTAGTCAAAGATTCTGTATACAAAGAGAGTCAAGGATTCTGTATACAAGAAGTGTCAAGTTTTAGTCAAAGATACTGTATATAAGAAGAGTCAAGGATTCTTTATACAAGGAGAGTCTAGGATATTGTATACAAGGAGAGTTAACGTATTCTACTTAAAAATATTTGATGCCAGTTTTTGTCAATGATTTTTTACAGTTGAATACAATAATCTATAATTCTAATAAAACGTTCTAATTAGTTAGCCTTGTGTAGATTTAATCTTACAAGCTTTTAAACTTTATAAATAACTATCCTTATGTTTAATATCCTTGGAAGTTGTAAACAACTAAATTCTTCTAATTATAGTTAATAGCAACTTGTCTAATTCATGTAGATTTTACATATTTCACAGTCAACTTATTAAAGTAAAAACGTATGAATTTTGGCTAACAGTCAAATTAAAAAGTGACATGTACGATTTACAACAGTAACCTTTAAACTTTAGTTTAATTATGGTCACTAGTGAAATGCGAATGAATTCAAAAATTTTAGAATATACAGGGTGTCCCACGAAACATGACAGTTAGTGAATAGCTTTCAATGTCTTCTTCCATATACTGTATTGGATATTAAGACTTTTTGCAGTTTATTTCTTTAAAAAATGTTTAACTCATATATATTTTACTGTGAAATCAATTTTACTATTATATAATTGTCATATAAAAAATGTTAATAGTCTCTTTACTATCAAACAACTTATCAAATTATGGAGGAAGACATTTTAAATTTTTCCCCAACTTTCATGTTTCGTATATATAGGATTAATTTATGGAAATCTAAATTTTAAAAATTTTAATTACTTTGATCCTATGTATCCTGGAAAATATAAAATAACATTCTCAAAAATATAACAGCTTGCATACAATTACAAGACAAAGGTGTGAGGGGTATCACCAACGAGGTTATAGTGTATAGAGTGATGAGGTACGCTAATCCTTTACTAATTTTATAGGCCATAAACTATATACCGAGAGCGTACTGCATATTTGTTTATTGTAAGGAGATTCCGGCCTAACCTATAGTATATCAATATTAGTAAACAGTTGTAAGTGTACAGTACAGCTAACTGAGCACACAGGTAGAGAACTATCATCCCACCTGGGTGCCGCTGTGAATCAGACATGCCACATTTATAGATGAGAGAGATTCAGAAAACTATGAAAACTATGAAATCAATGTGACTCCTTGTGGATCCTAGAAGATAAATAAATAGTATTTTTTTTATAAATATATAACATCTTGCATACTATAAATAGGAATTTTTTATAAATATATAACATCTTGCAAACTGTTACAAGACGAAAGTTTAGAGAGTACTGTTGTAAATTGTATAACCATTCTATAAATGAAGGCTATCTTGAAATAATGTCATTAAATTGTATTCTTGTCACCACAGTTTCAGTAGAAGTAAATATTTCCATTTACCGATAGTGCCAATTGAAGGATTCATATCTTTAATTGGATATGGATAATGAGCTAGATAGAAAGAGACGTTACCGCCATACAATTTCTATTGGTTCAGAATAGACAACAAACACATGACTGAACCCTGATTGGATCAGGCGCTAATGGACTCGGCATACAGGAGTCTTGCAATTGTCAAAAATATAACATGTCATTGTCTATATGTATAAAGCTAAATTAGATACAATTCTATAATGATGAAAACTAAAAGAAACAGTACAGGGGAAATTACTCAGATAGAGGGAGGGGGAGGGGATTTATATGGCTGGGAAGGGGGGAGGGATGGTTGGGAGGGGTGGGGAGGGATAAATTGGGTTTACCGATATTTGATATCGTTCTATAATATCCTTGGACAAATCTAATCTGAGTATTTACACCAAAACACTATAACATGCTTCTTCTCATATAGAGACAGAATATACAGGGTTACCCGCATAGCATACTTCTTCTATTCTTCAGTTCCTTTCTCACAATATCATATATAGACAGAATATACAGGGTTACCCACATAACATGCTTCTTCTATTCTTCAGTTCCTTTCTCACAATCTCATATATAAACAGAATATACAGGGTTACCCACATAACATGCTTCTTCTATTCTCAGTTCCTTTCTCACAATCTCATTATAGACAGAATATACAGGGTTACCCACATAACATACTTCTTCTATTTTTCAGTTCCTTTCTCACAATCTCATATATAGACAGAATATACAGGGTTACCCACATAACATACTTCTTCTATTCTTCAGTTCTGATCTTCGAAATAAAACATGTTGTGCCCCTAAGAAAAATAATTGTTTTTTTAATAATCATCCTGTCCATTGCAGCGCTCGATCGAGCCATAACATAACATAACTCTTAAGATATGACGATACCAAGTTTAATTAAGACTTCGCCTTGGATAATGTCTTTTAACGGCTTATTTAGTGATTTGGCATAAAGCTCGGTACTATCCGCCTGTATTATTCGCAGTGCTCGGCCCAGACCTTTAGACGACTTACTCCACTCTAAAATTTAAACTTTCGATTAAAAACTTTGTTTGTTTCTTTTTCCCTGGATCTTCTTTCCTCAATTAATATTTACAAGGTTTATACATTATACACCTCCAATAAAGTTTATTCCTCTCTACCCTTCTTTTCAAATATTTATTCAAGATAGGTTTATTTGTGTCCACCCTTCAATCTAGTTTTCTGAAGGGTGTCTAAGAAAAAATGTACATTTTGAACGATTGCTCAATTGAAACTTCAGAATTATCTTTATGAATAAAATTATGGCTAAATTACGGAAGGCTTATTTTTTATTTTCCATCAAAATTCAGTATTGTAATAAGGAACTCTCTAGTCTCAACTTTACTAACAAAACCTGCTCTAGCATACTTTTTATATCCATTTTTTCTAGCTGATAATTGATTTGTACCAATTGTGGTAGCTATGTAAAAGTGACATAGGGATTTATTCTAAAGAAAAATTAAGGAAATTAAGAGAATTTTGCCCTTTTTTGGTAGACACCCTTTGATCCTGTAATAATCATAACTCTTAAACTGTAAAGACGGGGGAAGGGATAAAAATAACATTGAGAAATGAGATGACGTATGTTTTGNTGGTATGTTTATCTTACACTAAGCACTAGATGGGTACCAGGGGGTATCTACAGATCAGGATGATTCTACAAAATTTCTCCGGGAATCAAAAGATGAAAGAAATATTTGGTCTTCTGTGTTTTTACATCAAAGAAATTCCAATGTTATGACTAAACTTTTATTTTATATAAAATACATATTTCAAATTTTCTGTTTCAGCAATTTTCTTAAACATGAACTTTTCGGAGATCTCTGACTGAAGCTGGGGCGGAACAGGTTGAACAAATTTTAGAAGTTCCAACAGTTCGTAGCCAACATCGTTCACATTGTAGGTGCCAGCAGCTTGTGTTCAAAACCGGAGTTATCATGGATAATGAACAAGATGAACATTTCATTCCGCTAGTGTTGTTATTCTCCGTTCTTTCTTCCGCTGGCTCGTTCAGAGACCGGAGAACATCAGCCTCGGTGTACTGCATTGGACCGAAGGCGGAGCCGGATTCTGTATCGGATGCGGACCCACAATCACTAAGACTATCTCCGATATCAATTTCTTCTTCTTTCTCCGCCAATTCGAGTCTCTGAGCTCTTCTCTGGTACTTTACCCCGATACGTTCACGACGTTTGGACCGGATTCGCTGGAACCGTTCCCATCGGTTCTCCAGGTACCCTGGACTACTGGGAGACAAGCTGGAGGATTTATTGGGAGAGGTAGAGTAGGATCTCGAGACTGGTCTAGCTATTGGAGACAAGGTTCGGATATTATCTAAACATTTGAGCTCGGTTTCAAAATGTTCAACTAAATCTTCTCTTCTTACCGCAATACTGCAGATAGGGCAGATAAGCTCCGCCTTAAACCTCTTCCCAAAGCTTAGATCCTCCGCCTCCTCTCTACTCCGCCGTTTCTCCAGGTTGAGCTCAGGACTGCCTGCTCCTGGTTGAACAAGGAATGGATTTGGAAAAGGAAATCCTAGATTATGTTGGGGAAATCCAAAAGCTGATGTTTGAATAAAACTGTTATTTCCCGGGGTACTTGCTCGGGATAACCAGGCTTGATGCAACATCGGAAGAAGCTGAGAGCTAGGTATACTATGCATACCAGGTATCATGATTAAATATACTCCAGGTGTATTGGACACTACGTTCTATAATAGACTGAAGCTAGAAACGGATCTCCTTGAAGTTCTCGCGGATTACCAACTCATCCTCATCTCTGATTGGTCGAATCCGCGCTTAAACTCGGGCTCTCATTGGTCGGAATCCGGCGGCGCACTCCTGACATAAATGTCACTCAATCTTAGGGTAGAAGCGCGGTTAGATTATTGAGGACAGTGTTTTTCAACGAGTTCGCCCAGTTGAGGAGATTGTAAAAAATTGGTTCATTTAAAAGGCTCATTTAACTTGAAGAGAGAGAGGGTAGCAAATAGAAAACCAGCGGCAACTATTAAATGATTTACACATGAAAGTTTCTACAACATTGTTCAAATTTATTAAGTTTGAATACTTAGAATTGAAATAATATATTTATCATTCAATATTAGTATTTAAATTAAACGTTGCCAATAAAATAAATTTAGTGTCTGTACAGTGAATCCCAGATATATGAATACATAGCAAGAGTTATTATAATACGACATTATAAATAAATGTATTTATATATCTGGGATTCCCTGTATTTAGGTAAGGATATGTACACTGTATTCATATTTTAGAAAATTCTTTGTTTTTATATTTTTTAAGTGAAGCTTTGTTTCTTCCAAACTAAGTGAGATATCTATGCTTTTATCTTCGAAAAATTGATTATTTTTAAATAATATTTCTCTTTAAGTAATTTGTATGTTACTGCTAAAAGGGTACCGTTGTGAATTGACATGCCCACCCTACTTTCTAGTTGAGTTGATTTTTCGTTAAATTAATTTTTCATTATATTAATTTTTCGTTTAGTTGATTTTTCGTTAAGCTGATTTTTCGTTAAGTTAACTTTTCATTAAGTTAACTTTTCGTTGTGAATTGACATGCCCACCCTTCTTTCTGGTTGAGTTGATTTTTCGTTAAATTAATTTTTCGTTTAGTTAATTTTTCTTTAAGCTGATTTTTCTTTAAGTTAACTTTTCGTTGTGAATTGACATGCCCACCCTTCTTTCTAGTTAAGTTAATTTTTCGTTAAGTTAATTTTTCGTTAAGTTAATTTTTCGTTAAGTTAATTTTTCGTTCAGTTAATTTTTCGTTAAGTTAATTTTCTGTTAAGTTAATTTTTCGTTTAGTTAATTTTTCGTTTAGTATATTTTTCGTTAAGTTGATTTTTTGTTAAGTTAATTTTTCGTTAAGTTAATTTATCGTTAAGTTAATTATTCGTTAAGTTAATTTTTTGTTAAGATAATTGTTCGTTAAGTTAATTTATCGTTTAGTTAATTTTTCGTTAAGTTAATTTTTCGTTAAGTTTATTTTTCGTTAAATTGATTTTTCGTTAAATTGATTTTTCGTTAATTTAATTATTCGTTAAGTTGATTTTTCGTTAAATTAATTTTTCTGTTACTTAATTTTTTGTTAATTTAATTATTCGTTAAGTTAATATTTCGATTAGGTAATTTTTAGTTAAGTTAATTGATCGTTCGGTTAATTTTTCCTTAAGTTGATTTTTCTTTAAGTTAATTTTTCGGTAAGTAAATTTTTTGTTAAGTTAATTTTTCGTTAAGTTAATTTCTCGTTAAATTAATTTTTCGTTAAGTTTATTTTTCGTTAAGTTTATTTTTCGTTAAATTATTTTTTCTTTAAGTTGATTTTTCGTTGAGTTAATTTTTCGTTAAGTTGATTATTCGTTAAGTTAATTTTTCGTTAAATTGATTTTGCTTTAAGGTAATTTTTCGTTAAGTTAATGAGATCAAAGCGAACCTGAACGGTTTTTTTTCCGTTCGTTAAATTTCCCGTTGACTTCCCCAACTTCTCTTGAGTGTTCGGATCCTACCGTTGTAAATTCAAGTGACGACCCTAAATTCAAAGTTCAGGCACGATTCAGAACGTTTTCCTTTACACCTAATAAATAATTTCACTATTATAGTTTCAGTAGAAGTAAATTTATTCATTTACTGTTAAATCGCCGATATAAGGATTTATCTCTAATTGGAAAATGAGCTAGATAGAAAGATAGATGTTACCGCCA